GCCGGTTCTGACGCTTTCATGGCAACGAAAATATCAAAACCGTAAAAAAAGCCTAGAAAACGTAAGATTTTTCGGGCTAGACTATCATGAGACCAATTATCTAAAAAAATATTCAGAATTTTAGGAAAATCGTGCTCGTATGTTCTATCGTCAACTTCCCTTACTTATGCAGCTATCACCGGGGAAGATAGGAATCAAACTTTCCGGCAACACTAAAACATAAAAATGATAACGATGGAATAGCACTTTATTATAAACTTAGGTCGGTAGGGTGAATTCTGGAGATCCAAAAATTGCACCCGAACAATCCGAAGCCTAGGAGTTAACTGATTAACAATGATTCATGTAACATATAAATAATGAAATATAACAATGGCAATTAGCACGATTCTGAGCATGAGTGACAGATGGCTTAGATAGAAAAACTCATGTCACGTTGAGTAAATTTGCTTAAATTGACACATTGAGTTGCACAGTAATTAATGTAATTTAAGTGTTTCAAGATGGTAAAAGTAATTATAGTTGCAATTAATTAAATGTACATTACAAAGTCTGCGAAATGTCACTATAATTGTTTTTATCAAAAATCACACCGTGATAATCCCCTCCCGCTTCGGAAAATGAGACGTCCTCGTCTCAGGAATCATCGGGAACTGAAATGCGCAGCACTGGGTTGTTGGTACCAGCAAGGTGTAAGATAAAGTTGCCACCCGGCACCACGTGTGCCGACGGAAGAGGACCTGACACCGGAATCGGTGTTTCGTGTAAGATAAAGTTGCCACCCGGCACCACGTGTGCCGACGGAAGAGGACCTGACACCTGAGTCGGTGTTTCGGGCACATTTTAGGAATGTTCCAGGGTCTGCCACTCATCAGAGGTCCAACCCAAATTAAGTTAATATATTTTAGCTGTATAGATCTCTAGCATGATGGTGTTTCATGCAATGATAATTGTAGTGGACATGTATTGTTACTGTTCCACTAATTAAGCTTTGTGAATAAAAAGCTGTATGTTTTGGATATGTCAATGAATAAGACAATATCAAGGAGAGTTAGTATTCTCTGAGATGCGAGCTTAGATTATTTGCTCGTCTTGTTTTGTGGTACATGTTGTACTAAACGGCTCTTAGATAGAGCTGCATTAGAGATTCGTTTGAAGCGGGCGGGCGACCGTCACATAATCGCGCTGGGAGAGTTAATGCACGTGGCATGAGAGAAAGCGCATAGTTTGTTTGTTTAGAGTATTGGGTAACCGATACCTGGCTAGTTACCTACGATGTAACTTCCATGTATACTAACATGACAGCCATGGAACTCATCCAATCTGCAGCAAAAGCACTCACAAAATTGAAACAAACTGATGTTACAATATCGATCCCAGATATCAGTTACCTAACCAAATTGTTACAAATTCTGTTAGAGAACAATGAATTTGAATTTAATGGTCAACTGTATAAACAAATACTAGGGGCCAGCATGGGGACGGTCCCGTCCCCCGAGATATGTCATCTGCGCCTTTTTGATATCCTTGAAAATATCATCAAAAAATACAATCATAAGAACAAAATTCTGGCTCACTTTAGATACAGAGATGACGGTTTCATAGCCATGGATGCCACAGAAATTGAAATACTGCAGTTTTTTGAACTTGCAAATCTGGAGCACAAATACCTGAAATTTACATACAATATTTACTTAAACGAGACTGTGTTTTTAGACACAAAAGTCCACAAAGGACAGAGATTTAAACAGTCCGGAGTCTTAGACTTTGAAACTTTCATCAAACCCACTGAAACATTTATAAATGTACCTGCATCGTAGCAGTGCACATCCCAATGCTACCTTCCGGGGATTTATCAAGGGGGAAATTATCTGGCATAAGAGGAACACCTTTGACCCACACAAAACCAAACAATTAATTTCACAGTTCAAGGAACGACTTTTATCAAGGGGGTACTCGGACTCTGAAATTGACAGTATTGTTTCAGAAACGCAAACAATCAAGAGACAAGATTTGCTAAAAAATAGCAAGACCAAATCTAACAGACCACCCTCTGTGCTTGTTACCAAGTATAATCCTGCAGTCAAAAAACTGGGGAAAATATTACGCAAACATTGGAAATTAATCCAAAAAGATAAACAATGTTCTGAAATACTCCCGATGCCTCCTATCATTGGATACAAGCGAAATAGAAATTTAAATGAGCTCTTAAACTCGAATAGATAGCATATCAATTAACAAATCAGACAATCCGTGATAGCGAAAAGCATGCAAAGCAGATATCAGGAAACAGGTGGCTGTCAATTACCCAATACTCTAAACAAACAATCAATGCGCCTTCTCTCGTGCCACGTGCATTAACTCTCCCAGCGCGATTATGTGACGGTCGCCCCGCCCGCTTCAAATGAATCTCAACTGCAGCTCTATTTAAGAGCTGTTTAGTACAACTTATACCACAAAACAATTCAGCTCGCATCATTCTCCTTGATATTGTCTTATTCATTGACATATTCAAAACATACAGCTTTATGTTCACAAAGCTTAATTAGTGGAACAGAAACAATACATGTCCACTTGATGTATATTTTCAAACGAATCTCAACTGCAGCTCTATTTAAGAGCTGTTTAGTACAATTTATACCACAAAACAAGAGGAGCAAATAATTCAGCTCGCATCTTAGAGAATATTAATTCTCCTTGATATTGTCTTATTCGTTGACATATTCAAAACATACAGCTTTATATTCACAAAGCTTAATTAGTGGAACAGAAACAATACATGTCCACTACTATTATCATTGCATGAAACACCATGCTAGAGATCCTCTACAGCTAAAATATATTAACTTAATTTGGGTTGGACCTCTGACGAGTGGCAGACCCTGGAACATTCCTAAAATGTGCCCAAAACACCGATTCAGGTGTCAGGTCCTCTTCCGTCGGCACACGTGGTGCCGGGTGGCAACTTTATCTTACAAGGAGATTTTCAAAGAATTTATTCAATTTCACTATGTAATCAATAGAGCCCCACCCTAACACCAGAACCCCTGACCCAGGGGCCATGACATTCACAATTTTGGAAGAGGGAGCCTTATTCAACATAACTATGTACTTAGCTTATTTGATGCCCAGGAGCAGAGAAGATTTTCAAAGAATTTATGCAATTTCACTTTATAATCAATAGAGCCCAACCCTAGCACCTCAGAACCCCTGACCCCAGGGCCATGAAATTCACAATTTTGAAAGAGGCAGCCTTATTCAACATAACTTTATGCATTTTCACTATATTATCTACTTAGCCCCGCCCTAGCACTAGAACCCCTGATCACAGGGCCACGAATTTTAAAATTTGGTAGAGGACTCAATGCTAATTACAATCATGCAAACCGTTTGCTGCTTGATGTCCAGGAGTAAAGAAGAAGATTTTTAAAGATTGCACTAATTTTAGTTGTTTTGGCACCACCCTCAGGCCACTGGGGGCCAGGGACCATGAAATTCAAAATTTTCATTCCCTTTTACCAATAGATGCTTTGTGCCAAATTTGGCTGAAATTGGTGCAGTGGTTTCAGAGAAGAAGCTGAAAATGTTCAAATGTTAACACACAACGCACGACACACGACGACGGACGAAAACAGATAACAATAGGTCAGCTGAGTTTACTCAGGTGACGTAAAACAGTATCAACAGGGAAAAATTGATAATTTATTTATTAATTCTTTAAAAAATACTTGTAAAATTTATCTTTCATGTATCAATATCTATTATTAATAGAAAATTACAAACCGTACATTACAAAATGTGATATTTAGTACTGTGACAATCGATTTTGAAATAGTATCTGCACGACGTTCTCCGAAGAACTTTCATAGGAATTCTGCTACGTACAGTACCTAACTGCATTGTGATGGATACTCCCGGTATATTATCACAGCGATATTCAGTTTTTCAAGAACTTGATAATACATGTATAAAGAACAATACTGATGGTAACATTTTTGCAGCATATTCTTTAATCATTTGCGCGCTTTGGTGCCAAGAAAAATGTACGTGTTTTGGATATAACCAGAAAAACAATAAATGCCATGTATATGAAACATGTCTTGAAACTTCTGATACAAACTCTGCTGACGAATGGAAATATTTTAAAAAGCGGGACTGTAAGTACACGTATGTTTGTTAAAGGTGCATAGACACCGATTTGAAGTTAATATTTTCACAAGAAAATCATTTAAAAATCTTATTCCATCTAAAAGTTATTGAAACTTAAAATTTTTGAATGGGTTTAATCCAGAAAATAATTACTGTAGTATATTCAGTGTAGAAATGTTCGAAAGCAAAACCCCTTCACGGGTACATATTCATGTACTTGTATAAAATAAAAAAATAAAAAGAAAGCAGATAATATTCATTGCCTCTTTCGTTTTGATTCTGTGATTTTTTAGGGAGGGATTGGGTGGGGGGTCAGAATTATTTTGGCTAAAGTTATTCTTAATTCTAGTCAAAAATTAAATAGTTGCTTCGAAATTAGAATCTGTATGACTAGTCCCATGCCTAATGAGCCGGTGGACCAGAGAGACTATACGTATCAAAAGGGGTACATGTAGTACGATTTTAAATAAACTTTTTTAAATTAAGAGACAATATTATTGTTCATTACGAGGGTTGTCCGTAAATTTTGTTGACAAGCTAAAATTTGAATAAAAATGGTGTCATTGATATTTATTATTAGCATGTTTGTAATCCTTTACTAAATGTGAATTACAAATTTAATATAACATTCAATTCAAAATATATAATTACAATTATGGCTTCATCATTGGACATAAGATGGTGACCCGGAGCATCGCAAAATTTTAATCAAAAAGTTATTTGTCACTTTACAAATTTCATTTGTATTTTGTAAAATTCCGCGGAAAATTCGGATTGCTTTTACATCAGCTATAAAGTCAAACCTGCAAAATTTGAAGGTTCGGAGTTTAGAAGTTAGAATCTTTTGAGACATGATCGGTATTGTTCGACAAAGGGACGTTTTCGGAAAAGTGGAGCAGAGAGCAGTGATAAAATTCTGCGTAGACATTGGAAGAACAGAGACCCATAAAAGCTGTAAGCAGTCGGGAAAATATACCAAAGGTAGCCATTCTCTAGTGTTTAAGTGGAATTTAAATTTTTTGAAGGAAGGAACGGTTTACAGGCTAACATGCGTGAAGAAAGCTTTAAGACCATCATTTCGAGATGGCAGTGCTGTAAAAAATGAATTTTGTAACGTGACTTTGTCGTATTTCCGTGAATAAAGTCGTTTTTACGCAGACAAAGGTTTGATGATTTGCAAGATTTGAGACATTTATTATTTTACATATGAAATCTGAACAGTTTGTACACATTTTGTATGACTGTTTAAAGCAACATAGGACATGAATAGAGTAGAACAATGACTGTGTGGAGAAATGTTACATGTATTATTAAGCTTTTGGCGTCGGGTGACGTCAAAGATTTTCGTTTTAGAGCTCCGGGTATGAGTGTGTGTGTGGTTTTTTTTGTATCTGATAAAATTATAACTATTTGTGCTTTGTTTTTGTTCAAAATTTGCACACGTATAAAATGAAACATTAATTTAATGAAAATAATAGTTTTATACATTTTATCAATATTTGTCAGTGATTATTAATGTTGTCCACGAACTTAACGGACAACCCTCGTATATTGTGTTTTTAGAAAATATTTTAATGTATTATGTTTAGTTTCATGAACTTTAAGTAGAATTTTGTCCAATGCGTATTCTTAGTGGATAATTACTATAAATATGGGAAGTTGTACTACTCTATACATGTATTTATCATCATGCTATTTATAGCAACATATTGTATATTTTTATTTTCCAAATTAAAAAGCGGGTATGGTTTGAAATTAAAATTCAGAAAAAATATTAGAATTGGGAATTTTTCTATCATTAGTAGAAAAATATTTCATTCCAATTTACACGTGGTAAAATGGATGGAAGATACCAGCATTACGTTTTAAGGTTAGTAAATCGTTACCAAACGTACAGGTACAGCATAATGAACTGTTTGATTGAAATATTTAAAAAAAAAAGATATAAGAAATCCAGTGTTTGGAAATTAATTCAACTTCTGTGTGTACAAAATGTTAAGGGACTTTGTAATCTGAGAAAATATTTATATCAAACTTCCTTTAGAAGAATGAATCATTATTTTGTAATTTTTAAGTGTTTCATAAATACAGATGCCGATTAAAACATCCTACATAGTTTACTTGCTATTTATTTATTATGCTCATTCTCATATTGTAATATATTATTTCAAATAATAAAATGCTTTCTTACGCGGGTAATGTACTTTTTTCTGCAATATCTGCGATGTTAATTCCCGTACTAACAACTAAAGAAAGCATTTTATATACTGACACTCAAAAGAAACGCAACGAGCAGTAATCTACAAATGTTTGATTTTTTTATCTTATGATTTTCAAAAATGAATACAGTAAGGCTATACTTACTTTTCAGAAAATGAGAGATTTGATAAAAATGTGAAATGTTTATTTCTTTTACTTTACTAAGTAACACATGACTGTTTATTCAAGTAAAACGTGCAACGTGCAAACTGCCCTAAACAACAAATGCAGCTTAATTTCTACGATACAATAGGTTCATCAATATCGAGATCTGAGCGAAGGAATTATTATTTGCCATTTTTAAATGCCCGTTTTTCAGATGATTAGGTCGAATTTTCTCTAATTTAGAGCAGTGTAGCCACCCCTGGACTTCCGGTAAATGGACTGTCCTTAATGAATATGATACGTAAGACCCTTTTGAGGCGTTTTGTTGTGAATTTTTGCATCAGTAACTCTCAATCACCTTTACATTGAAATTTCCCAGCTAGAGCAATGGAAATGCGTACTTAAGCCATTTTCAAGAAGCCTTAGCATCGTTACGGGAAACGAAAAGAGAGTTTCTTATTTGAAATATTGCTGCATTACTTATGATGAACAGTTAAATCCTTTAAAACTCCAGAATATTGCCAAATGTTTTGTTAAACATGCAATTTTTGATTTTTGTTAAGCAGACTCAAACTTGACTTCCGGTATGGTATGAAAATCGTTCAACCGTTAAATTACCGGTGTTTACCAAAATGAAGATATCCATAATTTTAAGATACAAACTTTTTTACTTTACATAATTATTTTCCCCTAAAGTAGGGTGTTGCGTTTCTTTTGCGTGTCAGTATAGTTTATATTTACACCTGTATTAAAAATCATTCGAAGTAAAATTCAATTTGTTAAATACTGTAATTTAAAATGAATACATAATTGTATCCATAACCGATGAAACAACCATTGTTCAAGAAATCTACGCACATGGCTTGCTTAGTGTTGTTCATATGCACTGACTAATGGCAATGGTCTTCATAATAAATAAAGGGAAAATAATATTCAGTGGATGTAAATATTATTGTTTATATGTTAAGTTATATGTGTCGCATGAGGCAAAGAAATAAAGAACTTGAAGTTGAGGTAGTATAAACCATCACCAAAAAAAAAAAAGAATCTTTGTCATGTATTTACTCCATTCTGTAAAACGAAATTATTTTGGTTTCTTCCATTCTTCCTTCTTTCTTCGGGTTCCCCGGTTAATGCGATTTTACACCTAGGATCTTGCTAACTGTATGCTCCAAAAAAAGAAAAGAAAAAAATCCACCTCCTGTTACATGTACTCCATCACTCAATAATTAAAATATTTTTTCAAACACTTTTTTTCTATCTTGAACGAAAACAAATCTGCATTTCACCTACAAAATTGTTTATTTATTTAAGTTCAGAAGACCTCATACAAATACATTTTAATAAGAGATCGTTTATTTACTCATTTAAATCTGTATTTCATATTTTCATTTTATTAGTATTAATTTTTTTTTTTTTTTTTTTTTGCTGTTAGTAAGATATCTTCTCGTTAACAAAATTTTGATCAGTAAAATCTTTAAAATCTTTAGTCACTGTGATTAAATTTCATTCCTCTTTGTCTAGTATGTTCGGTGTATTTCAAAACCATTTTTCGAGTAGATTTTAGCTATATTGTTTAGGTACGTTAGAGCATTTTTTTTACTCTGCAAGTGTTTGCATACTATATAGATGTTATTTTTTCTTTATTTTGGAAGCACCCACTTTTAAAAGATACAATCGTTTATGAAATGTTCAATCCTCCTTGTGATTTTTTTTCCTGTTTTTAGTTTTTTTCCTTTTCTGAGACAAACTCTTAAGACTGCAAAGCTCAGTGAATTAAACTGTAAAATCACATAGTTTTGTGGGGTCAAATTTTCCAGGTTTAAGAAAGAAATATTAGTTTGTGGGGACTTCGTGGTTGGAGAAGTTTTTCCTAGTAATGCATATGAAATTTTACATTTTGTGGAGGTTATGATTTCGAGGGTTTCTCCATATGTTGAAAACAACGAAAATTAACCCCCATGAAAATAAGTGATTTCACAATACTTCAATTTGACAATATCTTTTTTTGTCTCTTTATTTCCAGCCTCAAGCTGTATCAGCAAATCGGGCCGAAAAATAATGCCTGATTGTCTCCAACTGCTATTGGAAGACCGAACCCGACCCTCTGGAAACTATACAATTTGTCCCGGGGGCGATGAGGCTCGCCTGGTTTATTGTGGTATGGAGACCGAAGGCGGGGGATGGACTGTAAGAACTTTTTTGTCTACAAACAAAGAAGTTGCTGTTACATGTATTTCTCTTTCTTTCTTACGACTTACTGTCTCCCCGTCCACCATCATATATTATAAGATATCAGACATGGTTAATTTATATTCACTTTTATCATCGAAATGAATTTACCTGCATTTTGATCCGTGTTTAGTTATGCCATTTCTATAATTATGATACTTCAACATACTTCAACATCAATTTATTATCTTGGTACAGTTTAAGGCCTATTTTGAAATATGATAATTTATTTTAGGCTAAACATCAATAATCCTTAACATCAGATCATCCTAAGCTTTTCGTGTCTCATTCTTATAGCAATGTTTTTGTCACTTGTCTATTATTAAATCCCCTGTCTAACATCTCAATATGTAGGTTATTCTGAAAAGGCACGATGGATCTGTGAACTTCGCTAGAAACTGGACCGAATATAAAGAAGGGTTTGGTGACATTTCTGAGTATTGGATCGGTATGTCATAAGATATACAGACTTTCATCTTTTATCAATATGATTAAAATCATATCTTTGTAACGTACGCTCCGAAATTCTGATCATGGAGCGTAACAAAGTTCTGATTTTTATCAGATTGGGTCTTTTACTAAATACTAATTAAAGGGTATATGAAATCAATTATCGTTGTGTGAGTTTTTAAAAACATCTCCAATCACAAGCACATTATTATTATTATTATTATTATTTTATATTTCATGCCTTAGGGAAGTCTAAAAGGGGAGGGAGTACCTAAACCTAAACAACATACATACTAGGGGAAAAAAATCAGTAAAGCACCATGAAAAATAACTATAGTAAATAAATTCAAAAAGTCTTTATAGTACTATTTTAACAAAAATGAAAAAAAAGATTTCTTCCTCTTTTTATAGGAAATGAAATGATTCACCAACTGACAACAATCGACCATTCATTACTGTACATTGTGATAACACACTTAAATGGAAGTCAGCTGTATGAAATTTACGACTATTTCCTTGTTTCCAATGAAACAGATGGGTACAGAATATCTCTTGGTGAAGGATCGGGGACACTAGGTACTGTAAATTCCTAATACTAGTATTACGTGCGGGTAATTAATTATCGCATAATTTCGAGAGAAGTATGCTCGCGAAATAAAATTACTCACTGTTATTTCCATCGTTCTGAAAGCTTTATTAATACTCTTGATCAAACTTCAATCGTAAAAAATTATTTTGCGCGCTGATGTTGAATAGCCATTTCGCGATAATATATAAGTACTCGCAAAAAAAATCTACAGCAATAAATCTTGAATGTTTAAATTTTAATTTCTTGATTTTGTTTTTGGTCCGTATTTATTCTATAAAATAACTGATAATTTATGGTTGCAACTTCGTAAGGTGTTATCATTTTAAAAGGGGTTATAAAAATGGTTGACTAGTGCGATATAATTAATTTGCTTTGCTTGCTGTGTTTAACAAAAATGCATGGATTCTAATATAAGAAAAAATAAAGTTTTAAAAGTTTGAAATGTTAATAAAGAGAAAGGTGATCAAGGTTTCCCGTAAATATAGATGTATGCGAGGAAATCTTATGAAAATATTTTCAAGAACAATACCTACTTAGCTAGGTGAGCGTTAATTGTAGCCAATATACGTTTTGTTAAAATCACTTAAAGTAATACTTTGTGAAGATATTTTAATTCTGAACAATAGGAAACTCCATGATGCCCTCAAATCCACTAAGAGGAATAAAGGGAATGAGGTTTACTACCACTGACAGAGACAAGGAGTACTGGGTACATGGTAACTGTGCTGTTTCTCATGGCGGTGGGGGCGGATGGTGGTATAATGATTGCCATGACGCCATGTTGACGGGGCCTTATGGGAAGGCAGAGTGGAACAAGCCATGGTATCCAGTGTATTATACTGGTGAACAGATAAAAGCCGTACAAATGATGACAAAGAGAAGGAACCCCTGAATGTAAAAGAATACTGCATTGCTGTAAATTTAAACCGTGAAGATATACTGAAATGTGCAATCTAATTAAAATTAGGTGTGAGATTCGCTGGCATACTCGCTACAAGTATGCGAGTGGATCTAACATTTAATTTTTCATTAGATTGTGAAATGCGAGATATTAATGTACAAGAAAATTTTATTTCTATTGATTTATGCAATCTACTAGTATCTTTTTAAGCGTTTTGAAGAAAACTGCATGCGATATTTTGATTAGTTATAATGACGTCATAGATGTTGCATGTTCGGGAGTTAAAATTTAATAAAAATCGTGTTAATCACCTGTGCCGCAGCGATTTATGTGAAACACACCAAAAATGAAGAAATGACCGTCACATGATCAACAAGGTCATGTGATATCGTAACATATATGTTGATACATGTAAATAACCTAGAGAACTCTCTATATAAATTGGACGTACTTAAGTACATAACTTAGAAATAAAACGCAATATCGACTTTACAATGTAGGGTTACGTTCTATATGCATTTACGTATATTATTTTTTAGTCTTAACAGTACTGCGAATATGCAATCTTTCAATTTTTGCTGAGCATTCCCATTGAGAGCCTAACGGGTCGGTCCCTGAATAACTCTTTTTCATAAATCTCGGAAATAGAAAAAAAATTGCTGGATTACAACACGTGTTCCAATTAAGAGAGATTTGAGAGGATTTAAAGAAAAAATGTACTGGCATTACATAAAAGGGGCCAAAATGAATCGAAAGTTTGTAATCTATAACATTTAAATGATCAATAAAATATAATTTGCTACAAATTACTAAAGCAAAATTCTTCGTCATAACAACTTCTTTATATTAGTGTATTTGATCAAAAATCTTAGTCAAATCCTTATCTTATCTGGTCGATAATCGGCGGCTTATAACGAGATCGCATTTGGTTATTAAGGTCTTTCGTCTTCACAGAAGACCTTAGAGTAATTCTGTTGTTTCTTATTATTAAGGCCTTTCGTTCCAGACAAAAGCCCTTAAAGTGATTCTACTGTTTCTTTTTAAGGTCTTCCGTCCTCAGCGAACACAAAAAACGGCAACTTCCTGTTATGAGAGAAAAACTGGAGTATTATACTATCCCATAAATTTCTTTTATAGATGAGTATTTGAAATGATTTTTGGATATGTTATTTAGACTGCGAATGTCTAGAGTAATGTCAACTATCTTTGTAAAATTTACTTCTGGTCGCGTGATTTCCTGTCTTCAAAATGAGAAGTTATCACAGCAAGATCTGGGAAATGGTAAGAGATTAAGACACCAAACTTATGAGTTAAAAACCTTGAAAAGTAAAAGCAAATGGTAAAAAAGTAGGGAAAAATCATGACATCAATCTTAAAGGAGTAATAGATCTTGATGAGTAAGCAAATCCGTCTGGATAAAGATCATCCACCGTCACTTCCGGTCTCTACAGGAAGTAATTAAAGGAATCGAAATTTTCATTTTTTTTTTGTTTTTGGAATCTTTTTTTGCATCATATTATTGCCTCTAATTTGTGGTTTCGAAATATTTCAGTTCTGCCGGACATAAAAACGGCAACGTCCTGTTATGAGAGAAAATTGAGTATTATGCTATCCAATATACATAATGTAATCATAATTATCTTTTATAGATAGAGTATTTGATTTTTGGATATCCTATTCAGACTGCCAATGTTTACAGTTTCGTCTAATATCTTCGTAACATTAACTTCGGGTAGCGTGTTGTCCTGTCCTCAAAATGAGAAGTTATCAAAGCAAGATCTCAGAAACGGAAAGAAATTAAGACACCAAACTTATGAGTGATAAACCTTGAGACGTAGGCAAAACATGTAGGAATTAACGCGTCAAACGTCACTTCCGTTTGTCACACGGTGTGATCATAGAAATCAATGATTTCAGCTTTAATTTCGTTTTTAAATCTGTTTTTTTACATCATTTTATTGCATCGTATCTGTAATTTCCATAGTATTTGATATTTCCAAATATGTCAGTTTCACCGGAAACAAACCCGTCAATTTCCGTTTAAAAGGGGTAAACAATGTTTTTTGAAGTTTAATTTTCTCATAAATATCGCTTATAGATAAGTACTTGAACTATTTGATATATGTTATAGATTATATGTTAGTGCGACCGTTAGTGAGGGCGGGTCTGTCAAGAGAAAATTGCCACATTTTGTTGTTTAATGATAACTCAGTAATAATAAAAATAAAATTGTAAATCAGAGTCAAAAAATCAAAACAAAGAACTCTGTTCTTTTTTTAATGCTTTCTTTAGCTAGCCCAAATTATTTCTCATTCAAATAATGCAAGAAATTATTTAAGAGTTTACTACATCTGAGAAACTTTTACTAAGATATTTCATCATGGGACCAAGCCAAGAAAACTTATTGTCACGTCGCAATTGTTTTGAATTAGAGTTTTAAAACGTGGTTTTATCAAACGTTTCTATATTTGCTTAATCTGTATCTCAAAGTAGAAAATAACACAACAAATGGAAAACGATTACTACATACTTTTGTTTTCACCACATTAAAACTTTTTCTAAACCATGGTTATAAGAAATAGGTTTTCAAGAAATTTTCCTGACTAAAGCAACCGATATTTTAAGTAAGTCGGTGTATTCTCGTATAAATGAATACCAAAATAAGAAAACCATTTTTTTGAAAGATTGTTAAATGAAATTGATATGATTATTTTTTTTCTAGAAGATGGTATTGAATTTAAATGGCATATGATTCCTTTACCGTCACAGGGCGATACTTGCTTTTTGGTGAAATCGGGATATAGATAATTCACTTTTGGGGTAAAACATGGAAATAAAATATGTTAAAAATCTACGCAAACCCACTACTTTAGTGTTATTTGCCCACTACTTTAGTGTCATTTGCCCATATACGATATGGGCTATGTTCAAAGACAAAAATAAAATATTTGAAATACAGATTATAAGAACGTGCAGTTTTAAATTTCATTTAAGCTTTCACACCCATAAAATGAAACGTGCATTCGAAAACAAAGTTGCGAAGATTTACTCGTGACGATTTGCGCATTGTAACCTGCCTTTTGTAACTGATGCAAAAGTATATAAAAGTGCAGAAAAGATTACATAAACATGTCTGCATTATGTATCTGGAATTGCAAGGAGTAAAGATCAAATACACGATGAATAAAAAATAATTAACAGTATCATCAGTTCATCAGTAATAGATCATTTCTTCTGCTACACGCACCAGCTAATTTAACAAGAGGCCCAGGGGCCACATCGCTCACCTGAGCAATTGGCTAAAAAAGCACATAACAGATCAGAACTGAAAGTTTACTGAGGGTGGGGAGGGGGAGGGGGCTTGAATTTTAACCCCCCCAGGGGGTCATGATTTGAACAAACTTGAATCTACAGTATCTGAGGATGATTCCCTATAAATATCACTAGGCATGGCTTTGAAGTACTTGAAAAGAAGATTTTAAAAGATTTCCCTATATATTCCTCTTTAAAACTTTTATCGGCCATTTGGCCCCACCCTCCCCCAGGGGGGTCATGATTTGAAGAAACTTGAATCTACACTACCTGGGGATGATTCCACAAGAGTCATCTTTCCTGTCTCAATGGTTCTTGAGAAGAAGATTTTTCCTATATATTCCTATGTAAAACTTTGATCGGCTATCTTGGCCCCACCGTACCCCCCGGGGTCTTTTGTAACTGATGCAAAAGTATATAAAAGTGCAGAAAAGATTACATAAACATGTCTGCATTTAGAATCTGGAATTGCAAGGAGTAAAGATCAAATACACGATGAATAAAAAATAATTAACAGTATCATCAGTTCATCAGTAATAGATCATTTCTTCTGCTACACGCACCAGCTAATTTAACAAGAGGCCCAGGGGCCACATCGCTCACCTGAGCAATTGGCTAGAAAAAAGCACATAACAGATCAGAACTGAAAGTTTACTGAGGGCAAGGGGGCTTGAATTTTAACCCCCCCCCAGGGGGTCATGATTTGAACAAACTTGAATCTACAGTATCTGAGGATGATTCCCTATAAATATCACTAAGCATGGCTTTGAAGTACTTGAAAAGAAGATTTTAAAAGATTTCCCTATATATTTCTCTTTAAAACTTTTATCGGCCATTTGGCCCCACCCTACCCCAGGGGGGTCATGATTTGAAGAAAATTGAATCTACACTACCTGGGGATGATTCCACAAGAGTCATCTTTCCTGTCTCAATGGTTCTTGAGAAAAAAGATTCTTAAAGATTTTTCCTATATATTCCTATGTAAAATTTTGATCGGCCATTTTGGCCCCACCGTACCCCCGGGGGTCATGATTTGAACAAATTTGAATCTACACTGCCTGAGTATGATTCCATATGAGTTTCATCTTTCCTCGCCAAGTGGTTCTTGAGAAGAAGATTTTTAAAGATTTTTCCTATACCTTCCCATATAAAAATTTGATCGACCATATTGGCCCCGCCTACCCCAGGGGGTCATGATTTGAAGAAACTTGAATCTACACTACCTGGGGATGATTCCACAAGAGTTTCATCTTTCCTGTCTCAATGGTTCCTGAGGAGAAGATTTTTCCTATATATTCCTATGTAAAACTTTGATCGGCCATTTTGGCCCCATCCTACCCCCGGGGGTCATGATTCGAACAAACTTGAATCTACACTACCTGAAGATGATTCCACATGAGTTTTATCTTTCCTGGCCCAGTGGTTCTTGAGGAGAAGATTTTTAAAGATTTTTCCTATATATTCGTATGTAAAACTTTGATCGGCCATTTTGGCCCCACCCTACCCCCGGGGGTCATGATTTGAACAAACTTGAATCTACACTACCTGAAGATGATTCCACATGAGTTTTATCTTTCCTGGCCCAGTGGTTCTTGAGAAGAAGATTTTTAAAGATTTTTCCTACATATTCCTATGTAAAACTTTGATCAGCCATTTTGGCCCCACCCTACCCCCGGGGG